TCTGATGTCATCCTGCTGTCAGCCACAAATCAAGAGGTGGACCTGGACAGGAGTGTCTGGAAACCTCTCTGGGATCCCAATAAAACTAGAGTGCAGGAGGGACACAATGACCTTCTCTCTGAGAGGACCCACACTCTCCTTTCCCTTGTCCTGTCCCTTCAATAAACTCATGCCTGTCACTGTGAATGACATGTCTGAAATTTTCTGAGTTGGCCATAAGAATCGGGGTTTGAAGGAGGATGTATGTGCTGCCTCAGTTTCCTGGAAGGCGCAGCCTGGGGCACGCAAACCAGCAGTCAACGCAGAAAAAATGTGGACGAGAGCACATCTTGGATAACGAGATTCCCAACCGCTAACCCTCCAGGAATGGATTATCCAGAAAACATGAGTGAGGGCAGGGTCTGCTGCACCCAAGGCGAACCAGAGGAAGAGGACGGAAAGCCCCAAGGCCAGAGCTCCCAGTGAGCCTCAACCAGGCCAGGAGGGGTCCCAGGAAGTGGAGAGACCCAGAGCCACAGTACATCTGCTTCTTCTAGACGCCCACCCGGGGCGCTGCCTCCTCCCAGCCCTGAGTGAACGGCAGGCCCCTGTCATGCACAGCCACGGGAGAAGCAGGGCCTGCAGCCCCTGAGCCCCCATGTTGTTTTTGCAAATTTTCTGTTAAGTGTGATTACTTCAAAATTAAAAGATTAAAACAAAAAAAGACCTCACACACATGTAATAACTATGGGCCAACTTTCAGGATTAATCATGATATTCTGCACCCTAAAGTCTCATGTGTTTAAGATTGCACTTGGAATTTCCAGTCACTCGGCTGTACTGGATAAAGGCAGCTTGCTCAGGCCCACAGGGCACCATTCAATTTGTTATCCCTTAGTCTTTCTTTCGTATGTATGTTCTAGCAAGTTTTTTTACATACTGAAAAAAGATAACAGTAGCAAATGACATAATGTCCTCTCCATACCCGAGTGGTGACTGGAGGCAGGTGGGTGTGGCTGGCGGAGGTGGGAATTGGGGGCCTGGCTGTGGGTATATATTTTGTATCTGGAGAGTGGAGTCTCTCTCTCTCTCTGCCTCCTGGTCACCGTGATGTGAGCTGCTTTCCTCCGCCATCCTCTCCTACCACGATGTTCCGCCTCACCCTGAGCCCTAAGAAGTGGAGACCTCCAAAACTGTGAGCCTCAGAAAAAAACCCACAGCATCAGAAATGCTGACTAAAACATAAGTGAAGACATGATCCTCCAGCCTAAGTGGAAAACCCAGGAGGGACGTTCACAGGGCTGGATGGGGCTGAGATGTCACGGCCCCATCACAGATCCTGCCAATGGGCACCAGAGGGCGGGCTGGCAGATGCGTCCCTCTGTGCCCCAGGGACCACTCAGGTGTGGCTCCTGCACACAGGGTGGGGCACTGAGGCTCCTCCTGTGTCACCAAGCCATTCTTTCCCGTCCAGCTTCCTCCAAACATCCTTCTTTGTTAGAGCTTCCTATGTAGAGAGGGGGGCGTGCTATTAAAAAATCTCTCCACATGCATAAGGTAATAGCCTTCCAAAGCCTGCAGAGGCCTCTACAGGGACCCAGAGGCACCCTCCACTCTCCCTGCCCTCCTGGGAACCACCCTGAATGCGCAAATGTTGAAAATGTTCGGCTGCTAACTAGCTGGATTCAATACCGACTTTTAAAGACTCCTCCAGGAGATGGCCACGCCTCTCCTCCCACCCTGCAGGAAGGAGGCCAAAGCCCGAGCTCCGCTGGATGAAGAGAACACCATCTGGGCAGCGTGTGGAGGTCGCACTGCCTCTTATACAAAGGGAAGGAGGAGGATCCTTTGACATTTGCAGCGCTCAGAGGGAAAAATGATTTTTCCAGAATGCATAAGTCTGTGCCCAGCCAAAGGAGAACCAGGACTGGGCGGTGAGTGGGCCCTCTCCTCGACATGTGGCAGGCAGAGCTGGGGCCGCACCTCCACTCCTCAGCACTGGCCGGTCCCTAACTCCTGGGAGGCTCTGGGTGGGGCTGGTCCCTCCAAGGGCCCAGAAAGCTGCCTCGACACAGTCACGCCATAAACCTGGACACTGTGGTTTGAAATTGTGAAATCAGGGAGGGAAGTAGCAGATTTGTACAAAGAGAATAGAAGATGGTCAAGTCGGCTGGCTCCAGTAATCACGGAGGCGGGACGCCTGGCCATGGCCACCGCAGACACGGGCTTTATTTTTAGCTCAGATTTAGGCAAGGCCAATACTGGGGCAGTTAGAGCCAGCGCAGGGCTGCCCAAACCCCTGAAGGCAGACATCCCTGCAGCTGCGAGACTCCATCAGGGAGGAGAGGACCTGCAGCCCCATGGGAACTAGGCTGGCCTCCAAGGGCTGCACAGACCAGGTGACCACAGGCCTCCAGACATTGCTCACGCTGTCCACAAAACTGGACCCTGAAGGCGTTCACCTGGAATCGTCACCCCAATTAAATCCTGTTCCCAGAAGCACCGAGGAAGAACGTCCTGCCGTGGACCCCAGACCTACAAAAATATCGTTTTTAAGATTATGGATGCAGGCTGGGGTGCAGCTCAGTGGCAGGACACTTGCTGAGCTCACCCGAGGCCCTGAGTGTGCTCCCAGCACTGGAAAAGGAAAACGAAGCTTCGATATATTAATAGAGTCACAGACGTCTACAGCCGACAGCCAAAGTGAGGGAAAGCAGCAATTACGATCATGAGAAATATGATCAACTGAAAATTTCAACAAAACACCAAGTTTCATCAAACGCTGTCAAGGCTTTGAATGGTGTATTAGAATAGATGTCACACACTGCTTAGAAATCTCTCCTTGGTGACACTATATATTCAAATGAGAACAGCACACTACAAAGAACCATGATTTCACTGATAAAAATCATCAACAGGGAGAGAAGCAGATGAAAAATGATCATCTAATGCCAATGTTGGAACTATCTGGGTGGTGGGAGTTTGGATAATTTTACTTTCAAACATATGGCTTTTGTGTGGTTTTTATATCAAAACAAAACCATAACGCTCCAGGTCTCAGACTGCTGGGACTCAAATTTTAGCTTTACGCCTTATTAGCAGGGCAGCCATGGGCAAGTTAGTTAACCTCTCTGGGCCTCGATGACCTCACCTGTAAAGGGGACAGAAGCACATCCTCCTAGTGTTTATGTGAGTGCACACAAGGCTCACTCCAGCCTGTGGGGACACAGAAGTCACCAGCAGCCTCAGCCAGTAGCAGAAGCAGCAATACTGCCAATACTAAGCCAGCTGCTTCTAAAATCAACTTAAAATGCTCTGCAAAAGCAGTTGTAAAAGCAACTATTTTGTGGCCAAAAGTAATAAGAGGAGCAAAAAAATCCTTCTGCTTAAGTTTATACAACAATCCATAGAAACAAAACAAAAAAACTAGCAGGCTGGGTTGTGGCTCAGTGGTAGAGCGCTTGCCTGGCACGTGTGAGGCACTGGGTTCGATTCTCAGCACCACATACAAATAAAGAAAATAAAAAGGTCCATCAACAACTAAAAAAAATATTTAAAAATAAATAAACAAACTAAAAACTAGTAAGTCAACTACCAGAAACACACAGGCTATGTGAAGAAGAGAGATTCCTAAGTCGCCTCTTCTTTGAATCTGGCACCTGCTTCAGCAGTCAGCACACCAGATACCCACAAAGTTAGAGGGGACCTGGGCATTGGCAGAGCAGAAGGACCCCCGGTCAGTGATGAGTTAGAGGGGACCGGGAAGTGGCAGAGTTAAAAAAGGGAAGCAGGCTCTGGCTTCAGGTCTGCAAGTCTGTGCCCTCAATTTAGGAGCAAAAGGAGAAAACTGTCTAATGAGGTTAGGGTTTTAGGCCAGAAGACTCATCCTTTAAAAAACAAAAAACAAAAAAAACCCACTTCTTTCATATGCCTTAACACACAAATTCGGAACATCAGTTTTAAAAAGGGGGCTAGTATAAAATGAAAATTATATAAACTAACATGATTAACAAAGAGTAAAAAACCGGGCATCCTCATGAACCCCAGTCCTTTTGGGAGAGTGAAACAGTGAGCACGACCATGAAGCGAGTTTACCAGATCACTGTCCGACCCCAGGGCTCTGGAGAAGATGGGCAGGAAGTGCGTGGAAAGGGAGGGGACAAGTGACCTCGGATCAGATAAGATAAAGTGTGAACAACTCACCCAGGAGCTGTGGGCTCTGACAGAAGTCTCCATCGGGTGAAGGCTCAGGGGAGCGGAGGTCCTGGCCGGCTCTGCCTTGCGCATCCAGCCCCCCCTTTCGGCTTTGGTGACATGTACTACGGTCACTGCAAAGCCACCCTCTGCTGGTGTTAGTTCCGTTTTGAAAATACTAAGGGCGTGTGTTTCTTCAACATGTGATCTTCTCCATACGTGTTTTCAGCAAATAAGGAGAATTAAGAACACGTAACAAGTCGGCCGCTCCTTCTGGGAGCCGAGCATCTGTTCTCCCACTTTCCAGTAAGACGACCCGGCTTTCCCCTGGAAACAAAGCCACCTGACTTCCAGCAACTGGGACAGCAGAGCTTCCAGAGTCCTGTCATCACCCAGCCCTGCCAGGAGGGCTTGGAATGCGGAATGCGGGAGAGGAGGTGTGCCCCTTTCTCCTCCTGCTGAAGGGGTGAGCAGGGACCCCAGCCCAGTCCCTGGGACCTGCAGGTGCCGTGCAGGTGCTCTGGGCAGAGAGGCTCTCCTGCGGGGTGCCTAAGGTGGGCGACACAGGTCTGGAGCGTGGAAAGGAGCCAGGAGGGGCTGTCTAAAAACGACAGCAGCAGGGGCAGCAGGCGTCGTGACAGATGGCCCCTCTGAGCACCCCTGCCTCGCCCTGAGTGCCCACTGGGAGCGCACACAGCGGAGAAGCGTTCCCTTTGCCTGAGTCCCCCGGAGCCTGGCTTCTGTGATTGGCAATCGAGAGCCTTGTCCGCTCAGGGACCCTTGGAAGCCCTCCCGGGTTCCCCAGAAAGCCACCTGGCGACACTCACCCGTTCCTGACCAGCAGTGTCCCAGATGAGGAACTTGTGAAGCTCATTTCCACAAGGCACAGTTTTGGTCATGAAGGACGCCCTGGAGAGAGAGTGGACACCCCACGTTACTTGGGCCAGCAGTTCTTGTTAAGCCTCAGCAGGGAAAGAGCACCGGTACTCGGAGTGTACAGCGGGTGCACAGGTTGGAGGAAGAGGTTTCGCACTGTGCAGGAGAGCAAGCACGTTTCCGAACCACAACACCGATGCTCTCCCAGACTTTAAAGAGCAGCTCCAACTGCTCCAAGACAACAGCCAGCTTTCAGGGAGGGGCGTACACATGACCTTAGGGGCTCAGCACTGACTCTTACAACAAGAGTAAAAAGGAAGCTTGTGTTTTGGTACTTTGGGGCTTTGACAGAACAGGACACAAAAAGAAAGTTGTCCTGCATACTGGCCCCACTGATCCGCTCCCAAAGCCAGCTGCAGCCAGCCAGGCCCCAGGTAAGCCCCAGCCTGCCCGCACAGTGTAGAGGAAAGATGAGCAGCTGCAAAACTTTTGTTTTCTCTGTTAAAAAAGGTGGGGGGGGGCCGGATTTTAAAGTCTCAGAAGATCATGAAACACTTGCTATTTTCTTCTTTGTGCATTTTCTCTTAAGGGTTTTCTTTGTGCTTATGAAAGGGCAGAAATTCAATATTTAATAGTCTTGACTCCTGTGAGAAAAAACTTCTCATTCAAAAAATACCAAGCAGGGCTGGGGTTGTGGCTCAGTGGTAGAGCACTTGCCTGGCATGCGTGAGGCACTAGGTTTGATTCTCAGCACCACATACAAATAAATAAAATAAAGGTCCATCTAAAAAAAAATACCAAGCAGCCAGACACTATAGTGCACCCCCGTCACCCCAGCAACTCGGGAGGCTGAGGAAAGAGGATCACAAGTTGGAGGTTGGCCTTGGCAACTTAACAAGACATTGTCTCAAAAAATAAAAAGGTGAGCGTGGGTAATTCAGTGATAGAGCACCCCTAGATTCCAGTACTCCCCCAACCCCAAATAGCAAGCATCCCCAGTAGTGGGACAACCTGACATAAGAATCTTCCCAAAGTGAGGGAATGACAAACACTCATCTACCTCCGGCCAAAAGTGTTTAATCTGGATTTAATCACACAGAAAACAATCAGGCAAGTGGAGTGTGTGGACTCTAGGAGAGCTGGCCCGGACCCTCAGGTGAGCAGGTGCTGTGAAGAGCAGGCAAACAGAGGGCAGGGGACTGTTTAGATGGAGGAAAGAGATAAACAACAAACACGGCTGTGAACCTTGGCTGTGCCCGGGGTTAGGGAGAAAGCTTTCAAAGCTATTTTAAGGGCAACTGGAGAGGGGCTGGAGCACAGGTCAGTGGGGGGAGCTGGCCTAGAGTGCACCAGGCCCTGGGCTGCACCGAACTGCTGAGAATAAAAAATAGAACTAAGAGCAACTGGAGAAGTTGAGGTCTGAGCTAGATGGGAGGCATCACGTTGCATCGGATCAGTTTTTGAGGTATAATAATGGTGTCTTCCTTACGTTCTGATTCTTGGGAGATGTGGACAGGGGTCTTCAGGGGTACAGAATCGGGGGGGTCTCCCCCTTACTACCCTCAGCCCTGTCTGGCCAGAGCCCTCAGGCTGATGGCTGCACTCCACCATCTGGCCGCCCGCCCTGACCCGCCTGGGTGGAGTGTGCACCTTAACTGGTCACCTCAATGCTCTGGGCTTGGGGAGGCCGGTGGGGTGCTGCACGGAAGGCACTGGGGCCGGGGACATGAACTGAGTGACGAGGCAGGACCTAGCAATGAGCAAAGCAGGCAAAAGCAATACTGATCAAAACACTGGTGACGAGGAATGGCGCAGTGCGCAGCGTGAGCACCCACCCATGCACGCAGCACGGTCAGCTCTGGATGCCCGGCTCCAAGTCACCGAGTCAAGGAAGGACAGGAGCGCCAGAAACAGTGTGTGTCCCATGCTGGGAAGCCAGGCCATGGGGCCACTACTGCGCTGCCACAAGACGTGAGCCAAGCAGATGCTTAGGTTGAAGTTCAGAGGAAGAGAACAGAATTCTAAATCATACATGCGGATTCCAAAAATAATCCCTAAAGCTGCAGCAAAAGCGAGGACCACCTTCCTGAACACCACCTGGCAGTGCCGGCCTCATCCTCAACACAGACCCTTGGGCTAAGTTATTCCAGTGCTTTGAATTTAACCTAAAGAATAATACATAGATGTAACCACAAATGCTTCAACAATGAGGTCACTGAAAAATCAGTCAATGGCATAAAATTCACAAAGTCATGATGAGTGGAAAAAAATACACTAACACACAGAGGAAGAGGCGGAAGGCCAAGGGAGCCCTGTCCGGGGAGCTGCTGGGAGGCAGGCGAGGGGTGAGGTCGGTTGTCATTCATGGTTTTCCTCATTTTCAGTCACTATACTTTCGTAATAGTGTTTCCATCATGTTCTTAAAGATAATGCGACATCATAAAAAGTGCTCAAGACATATGCAGCCTCCAGCTGGGGATGTCACCTCAGGGACGTGGGGCTGAGGAGGAGGATGGCAGGGTGGAGGCCAGCCTGGGCAACTCAGCAAGGCCCTCTCAGAATAGACAAAAAGGGCCGGGTGTCGCTCAGTGGCAGAGTGTTTGCCTATAACGCTGGGGCCCTGGGCTCAATCCCAGCACCACCCCCCCCAAAAAAAAGAAAGAAAGAAAGAAAAGAAAAAAATAACTGCATATATACCGATTTCTATTTCTATGAATTTGGGGGTTTTTATGGTGAACAGGAATATCTACAATCAGAAAAACTATTCTTTAATCTGCTCTGTGAAGGAAATGCACAGGCAGCCGCTAAAAAGAACCAGAAATTGCTGAGTGGACTGGGAGGGCGGGCTGCAGCCCCAGGTGTGGTGAGACACACCCTGACTTGTACAGTCTGTCTATCTGAAGACCTTTGGACCCAGAGAAAACACTCACCATGCATGCACTTGGGGCACTAAATACTGGTTATATAAATTGAAGAGACAGGCATGGTGGCTCACGCCTGTAATCTCAGCTGCTTGGGAGGCTGAGGCAGGAGGATGGCAAGTTTGAGGCCAGCCTCAGCATCTTAGCAAGACTCTGCCTCTACCTAAGAAACAAAATAAAAAGGGCTGGGGAAGTAGCTCAGTGGAAGAACACCCCAATACTGAAAACACACACACAAACACAAAATATGGAATTAGAGAGCAAATAAAATCCTTTGATTTCACTTTTTATTTTATTTTATGTGCTTCTGTATAGTCTGGATGTTTTTATAACACGCATTACAATTTTAAAGACTGACATATAATTAGTAATTAATACTTTATCTTTAGAGCAGTTTTAGGTTTATAGGAAAATCAAGCAGAAATCAGAGTTTCCATATAATTTCTCTTGGGTTTTCTTTTTGTACTTGGGATTGAACCCGGGGTCACTTAACTCCTGAGCCACGTCCCCAGCCCATTTTATATTTTATTTAGAGACAGGGTCTTGATAAGTGGCTTAGGGCCTCTCTAAGTTGCTGAGGCTGGCTTAGAACTTGCACTCTTCCTGCCTCTGCCTCCCGAGCCTCTGAATTCCAGGTGTGCACCACTGCACCCAGCCATATAACGTATGTTTTAAAACCCCAAATCAGCAAAACATATTTCCTAGATGAAATATCATCTTCAACGGTGCCCACGGCAGAAGTGCCACTCACGCCCAGCAGCCCACACCCTCCCCACCCCTCCCACGCCTTTGAACCTGTTGCTCATCCCACCATGAGAGGGCACACTCCCCACCCTTGAACCTGGGCTGGCTCTGCACTGCTTTGACCAAGAGATGGTGAAAGGAGCCTGGGAAAGGAGCTACCGCCAGCCTCCTTTCCACGCTGGGGCAGAAACCGCGTCAGATCTGCCCGGGGGGTGGGGAACCCGCTGCGGGCAGTGCCAGGTGTAGCAGTGGAAGAAACAGAACTGCCGGGAACTGGCCCGGACCCCCTTGTCTGGAATGTGGGCAGCGCGGTGTGCAGAACCGTGCTGCTGGAGTCCAGGAGAGGGCGCGCAGAACTAAAAACCACTGCAGGGACGTCAGGCCGGACGAGGCAATCCACACTGCCGCGCGATGTTCACCACGGTCCTGCTGAGGCCCAGCTGCGGGGAGACGGACTCTCTGAACAGCCCCAAGGAGCAAGGAGAAAGGGGACCCACGGGCACTTACCCGATGGTGGGGCTGATGTTGTGGTCGAAGTGATCCTGCACAAACCGGCACACGATGCTCGACTTCCCGACACCGGTGTCCTAGGAGAGAAGGGAGGCTGCGGTGAGGACCCAGGGGTCAATGCCCACCTGACACAGCCAGCCGAGCCTGTGACCGGGGAGGGGCCGACTGCCTCCACCTCTTACCAGTGTTTTCTGATAGTGCAATTGTGTTGCTCTCACAGGAAGAAGAGAAATGGGGTGAAAACGAGTGTGAGGACCGTGTCTCACGTATGTGCCACAGTCAGCCTCCAACGAGCATTTCACCGACAAGAAGGCTAGAAATGTGGAAATTTGGGGAGTGGTCTAAAGAAGATGTATGGCAACACGATGTGTTGGTAGAAACAACTAGTTTTGTTCAGAGTCTTGAAAGAAAGAAAGAGGACAGGAAGAGAGAGAGAGAGAGAGAAAGGGAGGGAGGGAGGCAGAAAGAAGAAAGGAAGAAAGAAAGAGAAAGAAAGACAGGCTGGGTTGGGGCTCGTGTCAGAGCGCCCGCCTCTCACATGTGAGGCACTGGGTTTGATCCTCAGCACCATAAAAATAATAAGTAAAGATATTGTGTCCATCTACTACTTAAAAAGTTTTTTAAAAAGAGAGGAAGAAAGAAAGGGATAAAATAAAAGCCACCATCTGCTTCCCCAGGAGTCGCCCTGTAACACCTTGAATGCTGATTTCTACATGTCTGATGCTTTCTCTCTCAAGTCTGATGGCTGGATTGTAGCCTCCAGTTGTACTAAATTCTAGAAAGGTCTCGACTCGGCTCTTTCTCTGCTAAACGATTCTTGAAAGCTGACTGGGACAGGTGTCCAGTTACACATGGCAAATTAAATACACAGTGTTCGTCTCCAGTCCCCTCCTGAACCACTGTAAGGCAGCCTAAGAAATCTGAGTCAGACTCACAAGGTCAGAGAGCTAGGACTAGGGACAACCCCAGACCAGTGACATCAATAAAACCCAGGAGAATGATCGGTGCCCGAGAAAGAAGCTGCCACTCAGGTGCCCACAGGGAGGGAGGCTGGGTATGCAGTCCAGGTCATGCCAGGGAACAGCCTGCAATCCAAGAGGAAATGGGGGTCCCCCTGCAGGACCCTGGGGCTTGGGGACTTGGGCACAGCAAACACAGAGGCCACACACTATTCACCTGATTATGTGAGCCCAGGAAGGTCTCCCACCAGTGACACCAAAAAGCCCCACAAATCTGATATTGGGGTCCCCCAACAAAAGACCCTGTGTGCACCATCCACAAGCCCCAAGATTGAGCTTTCAATATGCATTTTAATCTTTTTAAAAGAAACACTAAGAAAACCCAGACGTTGATACCCACCAACAAAAGAGCAGGACGCTGTCTTGAAAGATCTGAGAATAAGAGCAACTTCTTAGAAATCAAAAGTTAAGACACTCGAAATTAAAAGGACGGCGAAGGAGTTAGAAGACAAAGTCAGAACAGTGCCCAGAAAGTGGAACAAGGTCAACAAAGCAGACGCCCTGGTTGGTAAGCACTGCTCTGCTGAGGCAGTGAGGCAGGGGACGCCAGGTTCAGACTGGACAGAGAGCTGGGTGGCCGCTCTTATCTCAAAGGATTGTGAGACCTTTCCGGGTCTATAAGCCACAAGGGCAAAGATGGCCACCTGGTTCTCTTATATTGAAGGTGGAAGTGTCAAAGTCAGAAGACTGAGGAGACGATGCTGCAACTTCAGGGAAAGGTGTTTTTCTTCAGACACTGATATATGAAATGCCAGCAGCAACCTGAATCTTCTGTGTTCCCTCCCACTCCTGTGTTTGGGGGACCATTCCAGCAAGCCAGGGGGACCTGGGCTGGCGCCCTCATCAGACAATCCTGTCAGAGAGCTGTCCCCGTGAGGGGGCTGCCTGCTGGGAGTCCCCCCAGCACAGAGCCAGGCTCTCCCTCTGCAGCGTGGGGATCTGTGCGCAGGGCTCAGGGGTGGACAGCAGCAGCTCACAGATCCCACCCGATGCCTTCATAGGAATCCGGCTTCTGTTCCCTCTCCAGCCTTCAGACACAGCTTAGTTCTTTCCATCTCTGTGGCTTTTAAGCCCCCCTGTGGATAAGTGTATCCTCGCCCTCCTTCGTCCACCCCTGAGAAATGGATAAGGTGGTGCCGCCTGCTGCCCTGAAGATCAGGAAACACCCTTGGGCCAGCCTCTTCCAGGAAGCCAACTGCTTCCTACAGACGGCCATGGGTGTGTGGGGGGGAGTGGCCCTGCCGAGCTGACCACGCTCATTTCTGTTTCCCTCCACCACAGTTCAGGGCTTCTCAGGGCGCCTCCGTCCGTCCATCACCATTCGTTCACCCCTATTCTTGCCCACCTGCTGCACATCCACAGCGGGCTACATCCCACGGTGGAAGGTCAGGGCACCCTCCCTTGGAGGGTCTCAGAACAGTGCTGGGTGCCCAGCAGGGTGTGTGCCAGCAGAGGTGGGGCAGGACTATAGTCCACTCAGTCACCAGGGCCCAGGAGCCAGCTCCTCACCCCTCATGCTGCTGCTGTTCAGCTCACACCAGCCACCTGCTGCCGTGCCAACAAACTGCGCTCCAGACGGCCACTAGACCCCCTCCTTGAAGCTCTGGGCAGCAGCTCTCCGTGCTCTCGTGGTGCTGGGTGCACCAGGCTTTGACGCTTTGACAGAGGCTGCTCTGAGAAGCCCAGCTACCCCAGGGCTCTGCTCCAAACAACTGGCCCCAAGTCCCAAAAGCAGCCCCAAAGAAGCTGCCTGCAAGTCCACCCTCAACCTGCCCTTCTTGGTGAAAACTAAAAAGCCACATTACAATTACGCGACTCTCTTCTCGTCTTCTGCATGGCTCATGCCAAAACGCCAGCTTCTCTGAAAAGTTAGAGCAGCAGATTGTTTAACAACTCAACTCTCAGTGTTTCTCCTTCTTATAGGAGTTCACAGGACCAAAGGGATAGGGGAATTTTTAGTTTATCTCCGTAAAAGAAATCTTCTTACAAAGAACAGCACCAAAGGGTCCTCTCTGGCCAGTGCTTTTGTGACAGGGGAAGTGGCTGCAGGCAGGGACCTGCCTGGTGTCCTTCTTCCAGGACAGTTGCTGTTCCCCAGCTGGCCACCAGGGGAAGCCCTGCCCACGCCAGGCCTGCAGAACAGGAGGCTCCCCCAGCACCGGGCTTCTTTTCCCTGCTGAAGCCTCGCTGGACTGAGTCACACAGGGAGAGCCGGCCCGTGAGTCACAGCGCTTCACATGGAAACAGAATGGCAACAGGAAGCAGAACTGACAGTCCACTAAGAAGAGAGGCAGACAGGGCAGGGTCCTGGTGGCCCACCAGCCCCAAAGGCGACTGTATGTTTAGTGGACTTAGCCGGATGGAAGTGTTTGCATGTGTGACTTTTCCGTCTTGTAAGACCAAGGCTATGGTGGCCCGTCTCATGCCATCCTCTGCGATGGCTTTGCAAAGGAGGAGGCTGAGGGCCTTCCTCAAGCTCACAAGCCTGGCCAGGAGTCAGAACCAAATGTTTCCAGCCCCGTCCTCTCAAGCCTCTCACCAGTTAAATCCACCTCCCACGAAGGCAGAATTTCCTTTAGAGATAAAAGGTCGTTCCTAGAGGTCACAGGACTACTTTCATCATTGCTTTCTAGTTTCACCTTGCTTAGCTCCAATTACTCACTCATGTTCGCAAGATGCAACTGCTGTTATCTTGACAGTAATGAAAGGGAATTAGAATAAAGCCAGTTCTGAGTCCACCACCTGGAATAAGGTTCAGGTTCAGTGACACGGCCCCCCGCCACGCCATCCGTATTTCACTGTGTGCCTGAGGCCAGCTGGTTCCATCAGCTTACTGGGAAAGGGACCTCTCACATGACGTCCCTCCATAATGCAGCCCTCTGGGAACAACCGCTTATTCTGAGTCGGGGATCTCCACCATTTGAACTGTCCCGTTTAGAAATCACATGCAAACCTATAATTATGAAATGAGGAACCACAAACTTTTAGCTGATGTCTTACTCTAGGCATCCCAACCTGTAAAACCAAGCCAAACACTCCCCTCACCCCTGGATTGCTGCAATGGCCTTAGATTTTCCTACAACAGAAGAGAATGGCAACTCCGGCAAACATCTCACCATGACCGACTCCTACTCTCACGGCAGACATCACTAGTCAATTCCACATCACGTCTCACGGAACCTAAAAAGGTCCTCAACATCTCTTCACCGCAGCTCCACAGGGAATCAGTATGAGGTGGTGGAGGCGGCACCTAGAAGCAACTGCTATCCTCCCTGGTCACCCTGACCTTCCAACACACCCTTGCACTCCAAACTCAAAATGCCCTGCTCTGCAGACACTGTAGAGATCTTCATGAGTGGCAAGGTGCTGTGGGAAGCTTGCAAGAAATGTACATTGTTAATAATACTATAAATCAACATGCCTCTTATGCAAAGGAAATTATAAAATGTTAACAAGACCTATAGGTCCAGGAATTCCATTCCTAAGAATGCAGCTAAAGGAAGAAAATGATCAGTAGCTGGAAATCAGCTCGGTGCTGAGCACTTGCCTCCCATGCCTGAGGCCTTGGGTTCAACTCCCAGCACTGTAAGGAAAAGAAAAAAATCTGGGTTCCATCTCTAGACAAGGAGGAGGATCAGGGGAAACAGCATGACATCACTGCAGTAGCTGTGCCCAGTGGCGCACGTCGGTAATCCCAGCAAACTCGGGAGCCTGAGGCAGGAGGCTCGCAAATTTGAGGCCAGCCTCAGCAACTTAGCAAGACCCTTGGCAACTTGGCAAAACCCTGTCTCCAAATTAAAAAATGAATCCCTCCCCAAAATTCACTGCAGTACAATTTATAAAAATAAGAAGTGACACCGCCCTAAAAATTAACTATGTGTGAGATGAATTACAGCATATAATCTTCTAAACTTTGATCTTATTCCTTCTAAAATGTTAAAGAGGCAGAATATATGATTTCTCCATCGTGTACTGATTGATGTCTCTCGACTTACGACGGGGTGGGTGTCCTGATAAGCCTCCTAAGCTGAGAGTGGAGAATGCCTGGAATACAACTG